TATAAAAAGAAAACTTATAAATAAGAAATTTATAAATAAAAATTAATAAAAAGTATATTTAAAAATAAAATATTAAAAAATAATATATTTATTTAAAAATTATATATATAAATAGGTAATTAAAATTAAAAATAAAATATTATTAATATAAAGTAAAATAAAATAAATTTATAATAATAAATTTTTTATTAATAATATTATTAATAAAAAAAGATTAAGTTATTATAATTAATTAAGTTATAATAAAAAGTAAATAAATTTTATTAATATAAAATATATTTAAAAATAATATTTAAACTTAAAATAATAAAATATAATATATTAAACTTATTATAATAAATTAAAGAATAAAGTTTTTAATAATATTATTTATAAAAAAGATAAATATTTAAAAATATAATTAAAAAAGAAATTAAACTTAATTATTTATTTTATTTATTAAATTATTAAATATATTTAATTCTTAATTTTATTAAATATATATTTTTAAATAAGTTTTTATTAAATTTTAAGCTTTTTTATAATTAGCTTTAAAGGCCTTATATATTATTTATTATAATATTGTTAAAGTAATAAATGCTTTTATAAAGTTTTAAATATAAGAATTATTAAAATAATTATAAAAAATATATTTAAAAGCAATATAAATTAATAAAGATAATAATATTAAATTTACTTAATTAAAATTTTTAAAAATAAAAAAATAAAGAAATTAATATTATTTTTATAAAAGTTAATTATATTATATTAATTATTATAAAGTATAATAAACTTAAATTATTAAAATATATAATTAAAAATATATTAAGTTTAATATATTTATTTATTTTTCTTTAATATAAATTATTTAATAATTATTTAAAATTTTAAGATTAACTTAATATATTTATATAATTATTGCTTAATATAAGATTATTATAATAAATAATAATTATAAAAATATATAAAATATAATATAAGTATTAAATTTTATTTTTATTATTATTTTCCTTTTAATTTAAGGCCCTTGTAAATTAAAATAAACCTTTAAATATCCTCTTTATACTTTTAAGTACTTATATCTTTAAAAGCATAATAATTATTATAAGTAATATAATAATAATTTACATTAAAATAAACATTATAAAATTAAGTTTTAATATTAAATATATAATAAAGCTTATATTAAAAAAGCTTATAATATTATTATTATTATTTAAATTTAGCTTAATATTTAAAATATATAAAATAATATTATTTTAAAATAACGTTATAATTATACTTATTATAATTATATTTAAACCTTTAATAAAGCATTAATTAATAAATATAAATTATATTATGCTTGCTTAGCTAAAGGATAAAGCTTATATTATATTTAAAAATAGGAATTTATTAAATATCATTAAAGATATATTTATAATAATAATTAAAAACTTTATTTTTAAAATTATAAAAGGCATATTTATATTAAATAATATTAATATAATATTTAAAGCAAGGCCGGGTAATATTAATAAAGTTAAAGCAATATAACTTAATTTTAATATGGCCGCGTAGCGCACTGGTCATGCATCTGGCTTCTCTCTATGAAGAGCGTAGGTTTAAACCCTGCCGCGGCTGTTAAGACCTTTTTTAGGAATTTTCCCCTTAAATATGCTATGGTAAATTGCAGCCTGCCTACCCATAACCCCCATAGCCGAAAAGGGCTTATATTTAAGGCCCTAAAAACCCCATTAAAGCTAATAAAAAAATAAGTACTTAAAAAAAGCCCTAAGCCCTTAAAACCTTAAATTAATAACGCCTTAAAATACATTTTATAATAAGGCCCCCTTATAAGAGGCCTTTAAATTAATTAATAAATAAGCTTTATTATAAGCCTTAATTAGCTTTATTAAAAGCCTTGCATTAATAAAAATAGCTTTGCAATCTTATATTAAAGCAATTATAACCCTTAGTAAAAAAATAATAACCCCTTATTAAGTAATTATAAGGGATTTGCTTATAAAAAACGGCCCTTATTAAGATTAAAATTAAAAAAAAGGATTATTAAGAAAGAAAAGCAAAGTTCCATAAATCTTAGGAAAGGTTAAGAGAAGAGCTCTTAATTAAAAGAATTAAAAGACATACTAATTTTCATTTAGCTCCAAGGCACGGTTTTTTTAATATAAGTAAATTTATAAAAGAACTATATATTAATTAGCAAGCTATATATATATTATAGCTTTATATAAATAAAACAATATTATTATTATTAATTTTAATATATTTAAAGGCAGGTAAATTAACTTATAATAAATATTATTAATTTTTATTTAAAGATATATTATTATTTTCCTTACCTTATATAATTAAAGCTAAAATATATATATAGAAAAGACCGTTATTTTCCTTATAATTAATTAATATATATTTATAAAATAAAATAAATAATATAAAATATATATTAAATTAAATATATATTTTATTTAATATTTTAATAAAGATTAAAAAAGTAATATTTTTATAATTTATATAATATTTTAATTTAAAAATAAATATAATAATTAAACAATCTTTAATAATAAATAAATAAAAAGTATAGCATTATTATTAATACCAAATATTAAATTTATAATTAATATTATTAATTAAGATTAATTTAAATAGTTAATTTAACTTATATAATTAAAATATTAAATATATTAATTAATTATAATAATAATAATATTAAAAAATAAAAGGAAAAAAACGTATAAAAAATGTAAGTATTAAATATTAAAAGTATAATTATTATAAATATAATATAAAATTATTAAAATATAATTAATAATTTATTTTTAAATAATCCTTAAATAAATTTATATTAATTTTAAGTAAAATAATTATTATTTATTTACATATAAGGTTTTTAAAATAAAATTTAAAACTTAAATTATTTATTTAAATCTTAAAATAAAGCCTATTTTTAAAAAATAATTATAAGGTAACAAATATTAAAAACTAAGAAAATAATTACTTTTTAAAAAACTAAGCCTTTCTTTAAAGCTAAGATTAAGCTTAAAAATATAGCTTTTTATATATTACCTTAAGCACGTTATTTAATATTCTTAAAATATTTAATATAGCTTTTGCACCTTAGTTAATAAATAACTTAATTAAGGATAATAATATAAGAAAGTAAGCTAGCATATTTTAATAATTTTAAAGAAGCTATTTAATTAATAATTTACCCTTTTTATTTTAATATATTCCTGCTTTATTAAGATTAAGGCAATAAATATATAAGTAAATAAAACTCTTAATAATATTAAGCACTTTATAAATTATATAAAAATAATTTAAAAACTTAAAAGAAAATAATAAATAGCTTAAAGAATAATGTAAGCTTTTTTAAAAAATATTATTTAATTATCTTTAAGGAGGTTAAATAAATAAATTATTTCTTAACAGTAAAATAGCTTTATAATAAAGATTTTCTTATTAATAATAAGGTAAAAAATATATTTTATATAAATTAAGTTTTAAGTAATAAATAAGCTTAATATAAGTTTTAATTATATAAAAAATATATTAATAAAGATATATAATTAAAATAGAAGTAAGTATTAATAATTAAGTTATAAAATCCTTATACTTTTATTAAACTTAAAGCGTTATAAGTATTAAGCTTAAAATATAAGCATATAAACGCTTTTATAATTAATTATATAAGTTATTTAAAATATTTTTTAATTTAATATAATTTATATAAATTATAATAAGGCAAATACCTTAAGCTATAAAATTATTATAATAAATATAAGTTAATATATTAATATTAAAAACTTCTTTACCATTAATAATATTATTAAAGCCTTTAATATAATATTATTTATTAATAAATATATAATATTTAGCGCTATTTAAGCTTATTAAGCAAACTTTAAGTTAATTAAAGATATAAATTAATAGCTTTTAAAAAAAATGTAAATATTAAGGCAATAATTATTAAATAAAAAAAGAATAAATCTTAAAAAAAATAAGATTATCTTAAAACTAAGGCAGATAAACAAGTAAAGCAAATAAGACTTAAGCTAACAAAAGGAAATACTCAGGCAGATTGCAGGCACCATCGCTATAGCATTCCAGGACTACCATAAAATGCTGTCGTGCAACAAGACCACCGCAAACACTTACATAAGTCAGGCTGGCGGCGCCATTAAGGAGATCATCCAGGTCTACACGGACCTCTAGCCAGGCACATGGTCGACTGATCCCTAGCTCCCGGTTATCAGCCATGTCAGGATCCAGGAACTTGGCAATGATCACGCTTCTTTCCGTAAACACCGGATACGAAAGAGAGTGCATTTAGAGGACATCCACTTGCCACGGCCCACCCTGATGGTCTACCGGCTCTGAGATTAATAGATGCATTCACCCGATCGCAGCATGAGTTTAACACGGCTAGCTACTATTATATATGCAACCTTTATCGTTGCGCAGTATATGTGAGTCCTGGGAAGTTGACCTTATGAATTAAACTGAGTCTTCGTAGCAAAACCCGACGAAAGCCCCAGCGGCAGCGCAGTAGAGAGTATCAGGAGATTTTAGAAGATGGTGAGGCAACCGAGAAAATCGGGAGGGAGAGGATAAGACTACTATATCCGAAGCCCCGAGGCAATAGGCGAACTTGCGTTACGAGGCCACGAGGCTTATAGAATCCATTGAAATATTAACTAGGACAAGGGGTGATTGGGGAAGCAGGCTTTACAATTTGTCCAGTTTGCCACCTTGCCCTTATACGTGTCCCAGTATCTTTGCTCCGTCCATTTTCTTTCCCCTTAATCTCTTACTTCCAACCATGCTTTTTATGGACTTGCTTATTTTTATTATATGTAAATGTTACGAAATGAGTAGGTTAATTAACATACTGCTAAATGTAGCCAAAGAGAGCAGAAGACTTTATTAACAAAAGCGATATCACGACAGCTTGTGACCAAAGTGGTTATCAAACTTACAAATTGAAGGTCTTATAGCCTTTGAGAGCAAGGGTGAAGTGTGATCGTGTGGTGTAATGGTAACATCCGGATTCTCATTATCATCCCGGGATAGCTGGTTCGATTCCAGTCGCGACCACGTATTTTGCTCTTCCCCTTGAGCACTTTTTGCTTCATCAATAATACTACTTAATTTTTTTTTATCTTGCTAGCCATCTATTACACGTAGGAAGCCAATTCTAATTTTAGCGACATGGGTGCTGCAGGTGGCTTATGGAGCTCGGTCCATGCCAGGCTGCTGGATGCTGGAAATGCAAGGTGCAGTGTTAGATTAGTCTTATCGATAGTGCCGCCGGCTGGCGCTGTGGGGCGACCCGCGCCAGGGCATTTGCTACTCAAATAGCGAATTTCTCGAGGGATCTAGCTGAACACATACACACACACACACACTCCGTACAGTAACAACTCCTCAGACCGTTTCGGAAGATCATATGGAATCCTACTAGGACCCGGAACAAGAGAGCGTATCCTCAGGCATAAGGACACCAGAATCAGAACCGACTGACACAGTAGAACCCATCCGAGCGACGAGTACGCAGACCCTGGCATTGAGTCTGGCGGCCTGGCTCAACACACCCATCGGAAAACCGTCTCGCACCGAGGACAGACCGTCGAACCAACCACGCTATCAAATTTTCCACGCCCGATTGCCCCAATTTCTCTATACGCGGGCCACAGTGCAGACTTTTGTCGCGAATCACCGAAAACCCCCTACCACACTGGCTACCAACTGGTCGCAACTCTCAAGGGCCAGCCTGCAGCCGCATTGCTGGACAGCTAGACAGCTAGACAGCGGTGCAGAAGGTGGCCAGCTGGCAGCGCACAGATCACCCCTTCTGGCTTACTCGAAGGCTGCAGGCCTACCTACTTAGGTTGCCTTCTGCCTTCCCTTCTACACCACTCACAAATCCAGTGCGTTGAACCCTACTTTGCGTACCACACAACCTTGAGACTCACCAATTACAACCAATTAACCAGATTCAACACCAACTACGTTGCCCTCGAGCATACGCCCAGAATCCCAGGCAACACTGGTAATACCTACGATGGATGATTTTCAGCAGAGGCTTGAAAATGCGAAAGTTGAGCAGGACCTGTCATACTTTATAACTGGAGAAGGGAAAAAGGCCAGGGTTTGATTCAATTCCGGCAAGCAGACGAGACTAGTCGAATCCTTTCATTGTGATAAAAGACCCGAAGTGAAGAAGTTCTGGTATAGCCAGGACTGTACTCCTGAGAATCTTGTTAACCAAGTCAGTAAATCAACCTTGGTTGCTATTAATATTGGCAACCATCAATCAGAGACTGCTATTAATGTTGGTATTGCTATCCTGCCTACCTTTCCCAACTACCTCGACATACCTTTAAAAGGTATTACCAGCCTTTTGAAATATGGAGCCTATATTTATAATTTTTATACCCCAACGCAAGGATTATTACTAGTTATAGATTTTAAACCTTTATGGTTTAAATTTAAGGGAATTTTTTCAGCTAATAAGATTAAAGAAAAACTTATTAAGATATTATAGTAAATAAAAAGGGAGTTAAATAAACTAGGAAATAAGCTAGGCTTAATCCTATTTAGTGCTGGTAGGGACCTAAAAGCTATTTTACGGTTATTCCCAAAAATCATTCCATTATTTGCTTGGTGGACTGATATCCAGGCTATCGCTAGCAAGATCATTATTATTGTTGGAAGTATAGGCAGGAATACTCCCAGGCATGGTTCTTCCTCCCTTGGTAAGATATTAGTGGCTCTTGGGCATAATACTTTATGTTATGGTAGTACTTCTTAACGCCTCTTAAAATACAAATCTTTACATAATGCAGCTCGTACTCTTATGATGGTAGTGGGTATTATAAGGAAACTTAGGGCTGGTAAGAAACTTATAGTACAAGAGCATATAAAGCCTGGGTTAACCCTGATGAGGAGGAAAATATGGATTAGCCAACCACAGCCTGCTAAGCTGTTTCTGTTTATCGCCAACATCAAAATGGAAACAGGCTGCCCGACACCACGCGAGTATTGAAGATGCAGAGACCTTTGGGATATCTTTGCCGCGTATGAACCTAACGCTATGAGTAGGAGGATTTGCCATAGCAATAGCACTTGGGTGGATTGGTTTAATGAGTGTAAGGGTGGTTGTGGAGCTTATATCTGGATCTTAGTCTCGACGAAGGTGCTGGTAGAGCAGCTTGTAAAGGACTTCCATAGCAAGTAAATGCAGGACGGCCGGCTTGTGGTAAAGGATACGTCTATACCTCTGGGAGCCATAATAACCACGGGATGTACTGATTGTAAGTAAAAGGCAGTCCTTCTCTATACGTTTTTTCTTTCTAAATGCTTAAGCGTAACACCTTCCCCTCCACCACATACTTATTCACCAGGCTAACATTATATGCAGCCATTAAGTTAAAGCAAGATAATAAAGGAAAGCAAGATAATAAAGAAAAGCAAGATAACAAAGGAAAGCAAGATAATAAAGAAAAGTAAAATAATAAAGGAAAGTAAGATAATAAAGAAAAGTAAAATAATAAAAAAAAGCAAAATAATAAAGAAAAGTAAAATAATAAAGAAAAGCAAGATAATAAAGAAAAATAAAATAATAAAAGAAAGTAAAATAATAAAGAAAAGCAAGATAATAATAAAAAATAAAATAATAAAAGAAAGTAAAATAATAAAAAAAAAGCAAGATAATAATAAAAAATAAAATAATAAAAGAAAGTAAAATAATAAAGGAAAGCAAAATAATAAAGAAAAGCAAGATAATAAAGAAAAGCAAGATAATAAAGGAAAGTAAAATAATAAAGGAAAGTAAGATAATAAAGGAAAGTAAGATAATAAAGGAAAGTAAGATAATAAAGAAAAGCAAGATAATAAAGGAAAGCAAAATAATAAAGGAAAGTAAGATAATAAAGGAAAGCAAAATAATAAAGAAAAGCAAAATAATAAAGGAAAGCAAGATAATAAAGGAAAGTAAAATAATAAAGAAAAGCAAAATAATAAAAGAAAGCAAAACGACAAAGGAAAGCAAGATGATAAAGGAAAGCAAGACGATGAAGGAAAGTAAAACGATGAAGGAAAGCAAGATAACGAAGGAAAGCAAGGCGAATAAGCAGTCTGATCTTAGTCCCCAGAGGTCTGCAGGTTGCGAGGGCCAAAAGAACCCGGATTGAGAAGGGCAACGACGTAGGAGTGATACAACCTACCAGGGGGAGGGGGGTTTTTTGTTAATATTGCACTACTATGTTAATGGAATAGCGACATAATAGTGACATGTAATTAAGATTTTGATATGCTTTTTTTATGTATACATTGCATTATTTACACGTTACTGATATGTAAACGTTCTTAACATACTATGACATAATGTTAACTTTTAATATAGGGTAAAAAAAAAAGCCCTTTTTTTTTCTCATCCCTAACCCAACTACTTATTTATTTTTTATTAGCTTAACTATTTATTATGAGAGGGTTTATGGAATTACGGAAATATTTAAAAATAAAAATAGGTTTAGAGTTGATAAGGTTTAAATTAAAGCTTTTAATATAGATTTATTTTAATATTGGCTGATATTGGCTGATATAAAGTTAATTTTAATATAAAGTTAATATTAATATAATTTAAAGCCTTGATATAATTAACTTTTGGTAGTATTTTGATAGTATTTTGCTAGTATTGCATTGTAATTTCAAAATTTTGTTTGGATCTCAAAACATGATTGCGTTGCGTGACCCATACAAAGACCCCCCCTCCCCCTGGTAGGAAGTGCTCGGGAAACAAACATTTCAACAACCAGTTGACGTCACGGTGGGCGAGTGGTCTAAGCCGTTTACCTCATAAGTCAATGCCTTCGGGCGCGAGAGTTCGAATCTTTTTTACGCTTTTGGCTCGAGCTTCCATGAAGCGTTTAATTTTGATCCCGCCTAAGCGTTCCTCGTGTACTAACCTCATTGTTGTGCTCGTCTGCAGTTTGCGTGTGGTTGGGAGCTGGGATACCGTTGCGCAGGTGCTTATGTCTTGAATCCTTTCTGTGACATTGCGCGACCGGAATGCACGCGAGGGTCGAGTCTTTCCGATGAACTACCACCAACCTGGTCTCTGAGAGAATTTGTGTGTGGGTGAGCGAAATCACCAACAGACAACTGGCATTTGCTTGACCGGCGTCCGCGGGTCCTAATTGATGGAACTGAAAGGAAAGGAGTAGGATGCAACAGGCGTTTGAGCATGGTCATAGCGGAACGGCTCTAACGGCTCTCCTCAAGCGATATGTGCTTGACGACCTTGATGAGCGAAATGATTGTTATTCAAATATAGTTGTGTGTGTGTCCTGCCCAGGTGAGGACCTCGCCTCATTGCTGCCTGGTGACCTCATTCCTTGTTTAGAAACCAAAGCCTGCCACATATATGAATCTAAAGACAAACCTGTACTGGGAATGTACATTTCAGGACAACGATAGCCTGACTGCAAAGTGCGGTAGATACTAGAAAGGAAAGGTGTCAACTGGAGTTCAACAGTTTCTTCAGGTTCAACAACAGGGTTACCTGGAGGTACAGTTGACTACAGCAGCTATGGTTGGAAGGAGCACTGCCGTAGCTGCTATAATCAACTAGAACTTCTGTCTTCGACTGTGAAGTCTGGTTTTCAACCTCTAGTACCGTAGCTTCCCTTTCAATGGCATGATAACTGTACTTTTCAGTGGATTGGCCGTTGTTGGCTTGTGCACATCGCCGGTACAGACCACGATTACCGGCAAAACGCCTCCATGACATGCAGGATGGGGCTTCCTCCCACAGCCTCACCACCGTGATGACACAACATCCAGGATGTGCCATGAGCTGCTGACTCTTATCAGCCGACGTGGAAATGCATCTCGGAAGAATAAAGACGACCACCTGGCGTTCTACTTCAAATGACATGCCCGGTATTGGTTTTGTGTGCTGCACACCTGCCAAGGAGTGCCCAGGGTAGAGCGCACCTTCCTCTCCGAACTGCCCATGGGGGTCAACACCACCTGAGCAGCTGATAGGCAGAACACAAGGCGGTCAAAAAACGGCTGCACCCGGATTCTGCCGCTGTGCAATCTGCTATAAAAGGTCTCGTCCCCCCTTGCGCTTCCCATGATCATGTTCTCTTCTCCTCCAGGCCGGACCGGAAGCCGCTTGGAGGCTGGGTCTTTAAGCGATTTGCTAGGCGCGCGAGGTGATGATGCTCGACGGCTTGGCCCCTTTCTATGCCGAAGAAGCCCTGCTGTCCGTCTCCTTCTCCTTGTCCCTACCCATGCACAGCAATGTGACGGCCGACTAGGAACTTGGGGAATTTGGGCCACCAAACATCTCTGCCTCATGCATTTTGGCCATGTTCCACTGCAACGGCTGCCGCATCACCTTCCCCAGGGTGATGTTTTGAGCCTCTTGCCTTCTTTTCAAATCGCAGTCCGCGACGTCCTGTCTCGCAAGATCTCCTGTCTTAGACGCTTTCAGCTAAGTCTCCTGGTTCTCATTAGAATACCTAGGTGCAAGCATTACAATGTTTCCTTTATCAATGACTTACCCATTAGCAACACCACTAAAAAGGACTTTGCCACTGATAACCTACACAGCACCCATCAACCATACTTCCTGGCCGCAATGGGTTTGCTACGTAGGTTCAGGGCTACAACTCCCGAGGTAAGCATTCTTTTTTTGAATTGCCAAAACCTGCTGACCACGACTGTAACCCCTTTTGCAGGAAAACCCACCTTCTACGGACCGTGAGCCCTCGCCGAAGCAACCGACCTTTCAGCCTAAGCGACCTTGTGGACTTTGACGTAATGGAGGATGCGCATACCAACAAAACCGATGCCTACCTCGACGGTGGCCCGACCCGCAAAATGCCCACAAGCCGCAAGCAGAAACGCAATTCCTTCAAGACCCTGAAGCTGCTTACCTTGAATGATGCAAGTGGGTCTCCAACAGAGGAGGCCGGCCGTAAACTTGCGGGTGACCTGGGCGTGGGGTGGCCAGCAAAGAAAGTGTCTGTAGAGGCAGTGAGGAGTGATCAAACATTATCAAGAATATTAACCACTGTAATTCTCCCTCAGATGATGGCCCTCTGACCTGACCTAGGATCCGGGCTGCTGGTACGGAGTACATCCTAATACCGGGCACGCTTGCTGTAATCCCCGCAGGGCAAGTTTAACCGAATTCAAGCAAGCCCAGTGAAACTCACTTTAGACTCACCCCCACCTCACTTTAGCACAGTCGTATTCTGGCCTCATAACTATTCTTGATTTAGGGGCAGCTTGACACGAGGGGTGAGTATGTAGGTACCTACCAGCCTGCCTAGGTATGCACGGCAGGGACCCTTGGTCGCATCATCGAACCGCCGATGTCGCTCCAGGCCCAGACCTGAAACCATGGCGCTCTCGCATGTCGTCTTCTGCTCACGGCGGCGGAACATGGGTCGCGGGCCTGATGCTCACTGTCGACGTCGACCTTGTTATTAGAATGCTGGCAGGCCCGCATCCTGGCCCTGTATCCAGCAGCCGCCAATGGTCACCGCCTCAGACACGAATTGACCTGCTGGCCTCGAGTGGGTGCACCAGCCCCAAGCAGCTCGCACGGTCATATCGTCCGTCCCCTGACCGGCCCAACACAACACCAACATGTCCTCCCCCTCGACGCGCTCGATATCCCTACCCGACCTCCCCTCGGAGCTTATCAGTCATGTCCTCTCGTACCTGTCGCCTTCCGATCTCGTTTCCATCTCCCTGACAAACCACGTACTCAGGGCCAACTCCCTTGCGGACCACCTGTGGCAGAGTCTTGTCCAGTCAAATGTGCCCGGCATCAAGCTCACAACTCCCAGCCCGTGCGCCTCATTCCGAGAGCTGTACATCGCACACGACCCGCGCTGGTTTCTGACAAAGTACAAGGTCTGGTTCTGCGACCGCGACTTGACCGGGAAGCTGGTTATCGTCCGCTACGATGGGCGCCGCGGTGTCATCGAGGGCTACCAGCTGTTGGCCAACCGCCCAGTAGCTTCCACCAGCACCAGCCACCAGAGCCTCAGCGAGCAGGAGCTGGTCATCCACGAGTTTGAGCCAGAACTGAAGCTTCACCTGGACAAGCCTGTGCTGCAGATGAGGGCCAACAGCCTGGAAAATGCCATCCGCGTGACCACCGGGCGGTCGCCAGCACCCTCAATCAAGGCCGCCTCCAGCGCAGGCCCCTTGCCCAGCAGGCCCTCGCCAGCTGTCGATCACGCTTCAACAAGGGTCGGCACGCCCGTCCACGTGAACAGATTCTCCGCCGAAACGCCGCTGGACAATAGGTTCACTGACAACATGTTCAACACCCTCATACTAGCCCGCTCTCTTCCAGACTCTCTGGCCAGCGAGCGTCAGCTCCTACCTTTTCCCTACGGCAACACCTGGCCGCCCCCTTCTATCCCTGCGGACACGAGGGTGTCCACGGGGGACCTGATCGGCCCTGAAGACAGGCCCACAGCCAGGCATGAGATTAACGAGAGATCATTCAGAATCCGCTCGTGGATAGAAATGCGGCCTGCAGGACTGCGTGGGGTGTCGATGGGTTGGATCGGGCCCTCTCTTCTTGGAGAAAACGACTGGCCTTCCAACAACGCAGTCTTTGGGCAGGCTTCCCGCGCCTGGCTGTCCAACTATATCCCTGGGATGCACCCTTCCATGAGCACGCACATTGGCGACCAGATCACCACGTACTCAACGCTAGATCCTGAATTATATACCCCAACTCTAAGCCAGCCCTGGAAGGGGATATGGGTTGGCGATTACAGCGCGCACGGGTGCGAGTTCCTGCTCATTACACAAAATCACCCGACCCCGTTTGACGAGGCGGCCTTTGATGCAACGCGAACCGAGGATGAGTCTGCCGCAGACTTCGAAAAGCGCAAGACGGACGCCAGGAGGTACCGGGGCCGTCTCGAGGCTATCAAGTTGACTGGAGACCCCAACGTACCGCGTGGTGAATGCACGTTTTTGGCAGAAGACCTCGGCGAACAAGGGCTTATCACTACAGTCGAGGAGGAGCCCTTCAGGGGCGCCAGGGTGGTCAGGAGCAAGGGCCACGTGGCCCAGACAGGATTTGTGAATGGCAAGTCCGCCAACCTTTACATGACGACACTGAAGGCTAAATACTAATTTGGCCCGATGTGAACAGACAAGTACATCAGGTCGCAGCTGCTCCTGATATCGGAGAAGAGGCTCGCCCAGTACTGGGTAGGATTTGGTCACATCAGTTTCTTCGAGAAGGTCGACATTGATCAATTCCTCGTGCCGGACTAGCGACCGTCTATCAAATTCGAGAGTGGCTATGAGGTATGATGGGCTCTGGGCCGTCGGCAATGCGACATGGGACGTGATACTGTCTCTGCATTTGTCTTGATTGTGTCTGCGGGATGCTGTCGGACGGTGCACCCTCAGGGCCTGGACTGCTGCATTAGGAACCGTTGCTGCACCCGCACTGGTGACCGGATGCGCCCCAGATTTATACAAGTCTGGGCGTGGATTTTTCCAGGTGAAGATACTAAGTGACCGGGCTCTACGTGCCACCACTCAGAGCCTACATGTGTAAGTAGTGAGAGGGGGCCGTGGATAGGCACCCAGACCCGCGAGATTCTGGTGATTCACGGAAGCATACTGCGTGTTACAAGACGGTTTCTTGGAGCATTAGCATATGCGGTGGGCTGCCTATACCAGCATGGCCGTTCCACTTCCGCAGCACGACCGTTCAGAGTCACGAGCCGCGCACTCGTCTCCGCACAGATGCAGTCGAGAGAGTGAGACCCTCGAGGTGACTCGGTGCTGGCTTAGTGGCCAACCAGGTGGGTGCTTCGGCACCTAGGAACGTGTTTGGACATGGAGCAGCCTGGTAGTTTGTACAGTAGTAGACAGACTAGACACACACTCCATGGTCTACCTACCTTGGGTACCTAGGCCAGCTAGGTAGGCAGTCTGTAGGCAGTCTGTAATTGTGGCATTGGTCCAGCCGTCCGTCGTCTCGGGACCCACCGGCGGGACCGACGTCATGCAAACAAACCTCGACCGCAAACCTGCCTGAGTATAGCGCGCCTCACTCAACCATGACAAGCTTTGCTGGCAATTGCTGGCCGGAATCTTTCAACCTTTGAACCCGCTTGAAGCCCCACCCCCACTCTGACTGTTGAAGCCCGTAGCACCCAATCAGGCGTACACCCACTGTGTTGAACGCTGCCGTCCTGCTCTTCACTCACCCCGGCCCGCAGGCCAGCAGGCATATCTCTCCGACTCCCAGCTGCCGAAGGCAAGGCGGGCATCAATGGCGGACAAGTACATCCTCAGGGTCACAGCAGGCCCATCATATGACCTGGCAGACCACACCGAGGTCCCGGTGAACAGCCCCACGCCAGTCAAGATCAGCACGGAGCACATGGACGTCGAGCTCAACGTGCGCATACAAAATTACCATGGCCTGCCGCGCAACTCGCCAGCAACCTCCCCTTACTTCGACCAGGAGCCTCACAGCAAGAACAAGGACCAGTACAGCATTGCATTCCAGTTCACCCCCAAGGCGCCGGGACCTGCCAAAACCCCGGTAAATGCCGAGCACGTCGACCCGGACGACCGAGAGCCAGGAGGAATCTCTGCCTCAGACCTCCAGTTTGGCAATGACTTTGACCACCCCATCCGCGACCGCCTCCCACCTGGCTTTAGCTATGCCATGAAGATCGTGAAATGGTGGATCGACCCAGGCCTGGACGGTGACCCTTACGCTGACAGCCCGTATCTCTTCGGGCCCGCACTCTCGTCCTTTAACCATGTCCGCGTCAGTGAACCCCCCAGCGCTCTATCGGCACCCTCCTACAACGCTCCTCCCTGGCTTCCATTTCCACTGGCTTTGCGAAACTAACCCCGCGCGCTGCAGGTCGGCCCGGCTGTTCTTGACGAGTCCAAGGGTGGGCTGTGGGTCGAGGAAGGCGGTGACCAGGAGTGGAGGGAAGACGTTGGCGCACCTGACGATGCCAGGGCGAGGATGAAGTGGGCATTGCAGGAGGACAGCAAGGAGGACTGGGTATGGGAGTACGGGCGGACATATGCGGTGGATTTCTTCAACGCCTACCTGGACTTCAGTGAGTTTGCGCTGAGGCTTCCTGGGTATGCCGTACCAATCATGAAGTACTGGGACGGCCAGGGGCTGAGGTGAGTATTTCTTCTCTTACACTGGCGTGTATCCTTTCCAAATCCTGCAGTACTGCGGGTTGTCGTCGTGGGCTTGCTTAGGTTAACGTGTATGGCTTGCTTGTTCAGGAAGAAGCGCTCACATCAACTCAGATACGTTCTTCGAAACAGGAGCACCGGTCAGATATTTCTCACCGTTCTATTCACTCTCTATCTCAAGGAGGATGTCAACGAGGATGGCACTCTCGAACCCGAAGCCAGCCGCGCATACACCTCACATGCGCCTGCCACGGCCGAGGACCAGGCTGTGACTGTGAACAAGGAGGACGCCAACGAGCCTGATTTCGACGGGGAGGCAGCACTGGAGCAAGCTAGGCGACACCTCAGTGACGTCGACCTACATGGGCAGAAGACCGTGTCAACGGACGAGGGGGACACCGTAGACTAGGCGCAAGGGGCGCGCGAGTATGCCTCACGCACCGAGTCATAATCGACTCCAGTAGAATAGTTGTCCAACCGTATAGGGCGGTCCTCGCTCCACATGCTGTGGCATACCAAAGTACAAATAGAGTAATACAGTGGTTGTGTCTGATGTCATGGCATTGAAATGGGGACCCAAAAACATCGCTGAAAGAACATCCACGGGTTCATTAACGCCCCTCCTCTATTTATGCGAGGTGAAGAAGGGGGGGGGGCTAATTGGAATCATAGGGGTGTTTGGAAACTACAGTTGGAGGCGAACACATGTAATACCTTCGGCCGAACGACTTTTTGGGACCAATTAACACGGGAAGCATCCTCGCAACCCTCAAGCCATAACAACACTTCGGCGTCTGGCCGTGCGTTGACGTGATTCAACGGTGGTTTAATTCGGCACCGAGGAGAGGTGACGGATTGTGTACACATGGCATTAGAACGTCACATCAAAGGCAGTGACACGCGACTGGACAAGACTCGGAGAGTGGCCATGAACAAGCACCTATCCAATCCTGTTTGATGGGTATCTAGGGGTAGGTGCGACACCTGGTGATTACTTCGTAGCGAACCGTCGAACCGTCTCTATAACCCTGCTGTAGTCATGACTCTTGTCGAACACCTGTGCATGGTCCAGCTCGACCCAGAGGAGCTCGACTCCTGAGCTTGTCAGGACGCTTGACCCCTTGGCCGCCTCTAGAACCTTGCAAGCCTCATCATCATCATCATTGATGAGGTATCGTGCCACCGCCATGGTGTCGACGATGAGATCGCGCGACGAAAGGCAGACGGCTGCTTGGCGGCCCGCGACCAGCTCCTCCTTGAAAATGATGTTTTCTCTCCAAAAGAAGTGCCGCCCCAGGACCAAAGCGATTCCTGGATCCATGCTCGCGAGGTACCACAGCTGCCATTCGTTGGCAGTCTGGGGTGTCCTCCTTGTGAAGTTGTAGGCCACATCCGGTAAGTGTAGTAACAGGGTGACCGGATCAACCAACATGACACCCTCAACTCTCAGGCTCAATTCCGAGTCGTGCAAGACGTGGGTGGCCATTACGGTGCCGTAGGAGTGCCCGACGAGGACGAATTGGTCTATGTGGTGGTGGCGGAGGATCTCCTTCAGGTGCCGTAGGAAGTCTGGCCTTGCCAGGATATTGGACTTGGTCAGCCGCATGCTAATAGGGAGGATCTCAAGGGCGATTATGGGGCTGGTCGATGGGAGCGAGGCGAGAAATGGAACATAGGGGTGGAGGCCGATGCCAATGCCGTGGAGAAAGACGATCGGAAGAGTGGGCGAGATGCCCGTGGTAGGGCTCCGAGGACGACGATACCAGTAGCAGAGCTCATCGGATGGTGACTGTCGTCTGACCAATTCCGCCGAGGCCAGCAGGCGAGGCGGGAAGACACGCAGTAGGTTTGTGCGCAAGGGCGAGGGCCAGAAGTCGAAGCCGTGCCATAAAAGGTGGCAATGGGTGGCCGAGTCAACCAAGCCGACGATGATGTACCAAACCACGCTGCGATACCTGGTGGGCACGTGGTCGAAGGTCAGGCGCATGGGCACAGCGCGGCCTCTGCCGGGAGCAAGAGAGCGGCCGAGAAGCTCTTCAGTCTCGTTGATGTATCCCTCGAGCTCGTCCTCGATCTCAGGGGCGACACTGTCGCGATCGAAGAAGGCCCAGAGCAGAAAGTCCCTGACGTTGTCGCGCTTGATATCGTCGGGGCGGGCGCCCAAAGCCCACAAGCTCAGATAGCGTTCGGGATCAGGCACATTCTCCAGGCAGCGCTGGAAGAGAGCCTGTCTGTCGACATTGTGTGGCGGGTGCCTGGCTCGACACGACAGCCGACGCTCAAACGGTCGGAGGATGAGGAAGTAATAGAGCGCCTCAACCGGAAGGAGCACCCAGAACGGAGGAGGCAGAAACGGTATGATGCACGGTAGGTATGTGAGAAAGAAGACACAGACACGGATGAAGACCAACTCATGGGTCGTTGGGTTGAGCATCGCGCATGTGGTCTCTCGGCGTCGCCGTCTCCGTCTCAGCCTCGGTCCCCCTGGGGTTAAGACGCCTGGCCTGTGGGGGTGGGGGCAGAGAATATTTGTGTCAGTATGGATGTTGATTGTGATCTCGATGGTGACGGTGTTTGGCGGTGACTGCGGCGATGGCGATTGTGACGGTGAGGTTGAAGGGCCAGGAGGGCCAGCCAAATATTTCCGAGTCTCTGGGCTACCCTACCCACGTTGCTTGTCCGCTTGGATTTCCTTGTGCGGGACCGGCACTGACATGGGGAGTGCCTGGGGAGTGAGTGCCTGGAGGTTAGATACCCAGGTAGGTACCCAGGTAGGTACCCAGGTAGGTAGGTACCCAGGTAGGTAGGTACGCAGCACACGAGCGCGACGAGTGCCTGGGTCGCACCGGGCGACGTGTCTACCATGAAGTGCCTCGCACCTCAGCAGCCCAGGACGTGGGGTTCTTTCTCCCTCCGCTTTATTTGGAGGGACCGTACCCACAGGTACGGCATGGTACTTGGACTCGTTGGGTCAACCATCTGTGCATCCGCCAGCGTGCCTGCCTCGTTTGACGCGTCTCTCTTTGAGGCGGCTGCCGAGGTATGACGTTGCACGCAGCGGCCTTTTCTGTTATCTTGACCATCTGATAAGACATGTGCTCTGGACAACCCACACTACTGATAGCATGGTTTAGTCGTGCTTGGCCCCTGCTCCGACTTCTCACTGACTTCAGTTCACGCGCAGTCTACCTCCAGAATGGGAAGCATATCAATCCGCAAACACATCCGATGGGGCGCGGAGCCTCCCTCTGAACCCACGTCCACCCTGGTTCTCACCTCCCCGGGTCGCCGCTTTGTCGACATCAGGGTCCTCACAGTGGCGTCTCACACAGAGCCAGGCTACGAGAGCTTTGGCTCTCTCACCAGAGACAGGCTGGACTGGGCATTTGCCGGCACTTCGTCCTCCGATAAGGTTTCCCGCGCCGACGGCAGCGAAACCACGCACTCTGTCTTCAACCACTGGATAGATAGCCGCACCACCGAGCCACAGCTTGTCCGCGATGAAGGCGACATGGTCCCTTGCCCAGGTGGCTTGGCCCTTGAGGTTGGAACCATGGTCAATCCGGCCACCGGCCGCATGACAGCGTACGAGGAGCTCTGGCTTGACAAAGTACCAGCCCCTCGCAGCGCCCAGAACCCCAAATGTGTCGTTTTCCAGCTACTGGACGAGCCTGGTGCGAAACGCGGGCAGTTCGTCTGTTTGGGTCACTACGCCCAGGGCGTATTACGAGTTGGAGACACCTTCACCGCTGAAAGATGGGTGTGGAGCGAGAGTCATTCCAGATGGGAGCAGACTCTCAAGGCTGGTGACAATCATGACCACCTTGGCTTTCTGATCGATGGGCGCCGGGGGCCCGACAAGGTAGGCGAACAGGTGGAAGGTCCTATGGGGACCTGGACGGTCATCGAGTATTGCACCTAGACTGCTTGTATAAGGCACTTGTTGGTCAAATGGGAGACTATTCTACAATACTTGCAGCTGGTGGCCGGCTGAACGAAACCAGAAGCCTTGGAAAACACGCCGCTGCCCGATTTATTGGCAAAATCTGAAGACCGGCTGCTAACTAGCGGACAACACCCGGATGGCCACTAGGCAAAGTCCTAACATGTAGTCTGTCATTATGGCTCTTGTAGGCGACCATGTGCCAGCGTCGAGGTCGATAAACGGATGCGGCCGTCGACGGCGCCAGCTCGAGGCTTGCCAAGAAGAGAAATCACCAATTCATTTGAGACCAGCACTTCTTTCTATGCGAATTCTGCAGCAATATTGCCAGTTATCTCTATATTAATACTATGCAGATGCCCGGCTCTCACGACTCCGCTTTCTACTCTACTTCCTGATGCTCACCTGGGTCCTTAGCAATCGTACTTCTTTTCCACTGAGCATCACCGTCCACGACACAAGGTATCCTCAAGACAACAACACACCTCGAACCGCGAGACCATTCCCCAAGCCATCTTTCACATTTCCACCACAAGAAGAGCACAAGCCTTCGAAATGGAGAAGTCCAATGCAACTGGGTTGATTTCCGCCGTCGTCAAAGCCGCGACAGATGGCCCCGGGGCCGTCAATAGCAGCACACCACACCCCAGGATACCAGGGCCCGGCGACCGCCCTGTCCAGCATCCTATGGTTTCAGTATACATCATAATAGTCGCGGTGTAAGCCCCTCCAATTCTTCGTATTATTCTCCAAGATTTTGTCCACTCTGTTTTGAAGGCTCTACTGCACCTTCCACTGTGGTACTGTCCAGCACTGACGCTTAGACGACCAGGGTCATTGTGTTTACGCTTCTCATATGGCGTGGTGTCCACGAAAGTCTGATGGCGGCACGTGCTAGACGGCTCATCCCCAATGATCCGGAGCACACCCATAAGACAACTAGTTTGTGGATCAGGCTGGTCAGGCTCGCCTGGACTGGTGTCAAGGCTCTCTTCATGTCTTTCCTCAACATCTTTACCAAGACATTTTGGAAGGATATGTGGAGCGACACGAAGAGGACCTTCTCTCCCCTGTCTTCATGTGGCATCTGTCTAAATGCTTATTTTTGCGGGCTCGTCTGCAACCCAGACACGGACGACGATGTTACCATGCCGGTCACAGAGTGGGACAGCGCTGTCGTCGCCCAAAGCTCCATGACCATGCCCAAGACGTCGACTGTCCAGCGACCCCTCCCTACAGTTGTCGTCGAGGAAATGGTCTGACCAAGTTTTTGAGTGTCTTGCTGAACAGTACGCATTTCTCCACACGGATGCCTATCCCCTTTGTATCATTGTCACTAACAACACTTCGAAGTTGTCAAGGAGATGCAACATCCCGATACTTCTTGGTGGACTGGCGGGCCCAGGAGTGGGCGACCGGGATGGAGCACAGTACACATCATTCTGCGGAACGCTTCGTTGCGGCCTCAACCGTGAGTGCCGTTCAGCGGAAGAATCGTGGTGATTGTTCGAGAACAACACTCTCTGTTGTGCAGCCAAGACACCATAGTTGTGCCATCTTATATGCAATCAAGGTTTGGGCGGGCTAGACTAGTTCAAGTTTCATCTGTTCTTTCTCTTCTGTGTCGCCAGTGCATGTCTGGTGCAGTTCCGACAATGATAGGCCCAAGAAGAGTACAAGAGCTGCTTCAAGAGCGGCAGTAATCGGGCAAGGGACTGGGTAGTGAGTTGGTCAAGCAATCTGTCTGCTCGAGTTTGCTAGAACAGTTCAGCACCATGCACACACTGTACTTGTGAATCTGAGTCAAGATGGCGTGGTACAAATGTGTCCGCAGAACCCGTTGAGAACAGAGATGAGAGTGTTCCTAAGACACCAATCATAATCCTTCACTTCGTTTCCGTCTTCTTCTCCGCTTGGTTCTTTTCATAGATCCAGTCGTTCAGTCCTTTCCGGTTTCTTGCAATCTCCACGGCATAAAACTGCATGCGAGGCACTGTTGAAGGTTAGCATCTGCTCATCTAACCGCCTGACCATATCAAATGACCTGGCTTCCTCAGATGCTTGTGCCGCGACAGGGAAGAGATCTCCTGTCCTCGGTAACTTGAGCTGGAGGGGATAGCGGCATTGTAAGATGCCGATATCGCTGAGTCGGGGTGCAGATGGACGCGTAGGGAGCAGGAGCAGGAGCAGGAGCAGGAGCAGTGTCCAGCCGACTCACCAAAGATTGTGCCGTGCTGTGTGTATTCCTCCTTTGGACTTGAGCGCAGCATGGTGCCAAAGCTGTAGTCGTCGACCCTTTTCTCGTATGCCATCATGAAATCACGCCACCGCTTCTTTGCCGTGGGGCTCTTGAGCTTGTTCTCATCTATCGTCTCGGCAGGGTCGAACTCGGGGAAGTCTTTGCAGAGGTGGTCATAGATTTCGTCGTCAATCTTGGTCAGGCGGAGGGTACTGCCCTTCACCTTTTCTAGGATGGCCCAGTATGTCTCGAGATGTTGGACAGCTATGGAGAGGCATGTCAGATCCTGTCTGGGTCAAGGTCGTGGGACTGGGCCGTTGTCTGGCAGGCAGATATACACCCTACCCTTGACAGCAAATTGCTTTTCAATCTAGTGGCCACGGGTCAGTCAGGTAGGCCCTAGGCATGTCGTCGGCACGTCTTCCCCAGATTGCCAAACCTGGTTGTAGTGGAGGGCTTACATCCTCAAGATTATCTGCATCATTGGCATTGAAGTTGGCCGGCACAGGCTGCGCGCCAGCCATAGAGCTCTGGATCAGGTCGTCAGCCATTTTGTGATGGCAGTTGTCGAAATGCCACAGGCTGTTGGCAGATTTGCAGAGAGCAAATTGCAAGTTGGAGACGAGGAGCAGGGCAAGACTGAGTTGGGGTTGAGGTTGAGGCTCAGATGGGGCACTAAAGTTCCCCGATTCTTGGTAACAGTGGCCCAAGTGACTGGAGAGAGATAGCATTTGAAGCTTTGATGGCGGGGCACCTGGAACAGGATGTCATCGACAGGGATGCTTCACACAGCTTTGGCTGGCAGGGCTGGTAGGGCAGGGTAGCCAGGTACAAACACTTCCAGTGATGAATATTCGCACCCGCAAAAGCGGATGGTGCACCGGTACATTACTCTCTTATGCAATCTGTCAGATCCAACCAACAGTAAATGTACCGTGATTAGATGGGTGCATGGTAAATTCACTATGGAAGCAGTAAATTCATTAGGAAGATGGTAAATTCACCTAAATTCACTAAGGAATAATCAACATCATAATAAATGCCTTAAGCATTAAGATTTATAAATTAAAACCAGCCCTTATAATAAGCTAAAATTAAAATAATTAATAATTAAAAAATTATTATATTAATAATTAAAAATAATTATATAATATAAGGATTTTATTATAAAAATAATATAAACTTTAATAATTAAAAGTTTTATTACTTTAAGTTATTAAATAATATATTTAATTACTTAAATATAAAAAAAACTTATAATATTTTATTAAAGCTTAATAATTAAAATTATAAATTTAAGTTATAAATTAATATATAAAAACTTAAATTATATATTTATTAAAAAAATCTTTTTTTATTAAAAATATTAAGTATTTATTAATAAAAATATAAAAAAAAATCTTTATATAATTAAATATTATTATAAGCTAACCTTAAACTCGCAAAAATAAAGGTGCTTAAATAAAGTTAATATTTAAAGTATAAAGGAAAAGGTTTATTTTTTGTTTATATTTATATTAAAGCTTATTCTTATAAAGCTAAAGCCTATTAATTAATTATTATAAGTATAAGTTTAAACCATAATATATCCCCTTTCCTTAAATTAAGGCTGTAAAAGGGCTTTTTAAAGGATTAATTATATAATAAAAAAATAAAAAAAGCATTACTTTAATTATAAATTAAATATTGCCTTTTACTTAATTATTTAATTAACTTATAATACTTTAATTATATTATTAAGCTAGCTTATATATTATTATAATTTTATTTTTTTTATACTTTATAATTTAATATATTAATTAAAGTAAGTTAATAAAAAATAATTATTTAAATATAAGCTAATAATTAAATTAATAATATTCTTAAAATCTTTTAATTTATGCCTTTTATATAAGCTTTTTTATTTAAAACTTTAAGTTTATAAATTTATTATATAATTTATAATTAATTAATATTTAATTATAAATAATTTACTTTATTAATAAAAAGTTTTTAAATCTTAAAGATTTTATAATATTAAATTAATTAATATTAACTAACTTGCTTTAAGCTTAAGTTAATATTAAATTAATATTATTTTAAACCTTATCTTATAAAAAAAATTATATATTAAAAATAACCTTAATTAAGTGCTTTTTTTTATTAAGCTTAATTAATAAAAGCTATATATAAGTTTTTTTATAATAATTTAAATAATTATATTTATAATAATTAAATTAATTATAAATATAATATTTAACTTTTTTTATTAAAATTATTATAATATTAATATTTATTGCTTTATTATTTTAAGGTTAAATATTATTCTTTATTATTATAATATTAAAAATGCCTTTATATTATTATAAGGTAAAGTAAAAAGCTTTAAATATTTTTAATTATTTCTTATAATTAAGTTTTATTTTTATTAAAATAATAAATTTATTAATTATAAGTAATATTTTATAATTATTTAATTAAGCTTAAGCCTTAATTATATAAAAAAGTTAATTAAAATAAGTAAAAAAAATTATTATTATTTTTTATAATATTATTATAATATAATTAAGCTAAGTTTAATATATTTTTAATTAAAAAAATTCTTAAATATAAAATAAATCTTTTTTAAAAAGCTTTTTAATTACTTTTTAAATAGTTTTATAAAATTAATATAAAATAAGAATTAATTATAAAAAGTTTTAATTAATTAAATATTTAAAAAAATTAAGTTCTTTTAATATTAATTTACTTTTTTATTTATTATAAACTTAACTTTTATTTTTTAATTAATTAAGTTATTAAACTTTCTTAAAATAAAAGCTTTTTAAAATAAAAAAAAGGTTAATAAATTATTAATTTTTTTAAGTTTTATTATATTAAACTTTATATAATTATATTATAAGTTTATAATATAAAAAAACTTTAAATATATATTATAAATTAACTTTAAATTTATAAAAATAAAGGTATTTAAATAAAGTTAATATTTAAAATATAAAAACAAGATTTATTTTTTATTTATATTTATATTAAAGTTTATTTTTATAAAGTTAAAGCTTATTAATTAATTATTATAAGTATAAATTTAAATTATAATAAATATTTAACTTTAAATAATATTTAATAAAAAAACAATTTTTTTAAATAATAAGAAATTTATTTAATTATAATATTAAAAGTTTTAATTAAAACTTATTTTAATATAATAATAATAATAATAATTTATTTACGTTATTTTAAATTATTATTAGCTAAAAACCATTTAATATATAATTTCTTTGCTAATTTACTTATAAGGAAAAACTATGTTAAATAGTTAAAAAAACCCTTATGTTGCAATCTTTTTATAATAATATAACTACCTATTTACGTTATATTAAGTAATATAAGCATTATACCTATACTTAAAAATCCTTAAAAAGGGAAATTTTTTTAAATTTTATAATTCTCTTATAAAGTTTTTAACTTATTTATTTATTATTTTTTAAATAAAAAGATAATAAAAAATTATTTATATAAGTAGTAAAATTTAAGCTAAAAAGCATAAATAGCTATAACCCCTTATTTATTTTTCTTCCTTTTTTCTTTAATAATATATTATTCCTTAAATAAGTTCTTAGTTATTAGCAATTTTATAAAGTACTTAAGTACTTTATAATAATATTACAACCCTTTTATAGCCTTTCCTTAATATTTCTTAGCTTTATATTTTTATTATTATTTTTATAATTTATTTATAATCTTTATTATATTAAATAATATTAAAGATATAATTAAAGCCTTAAATTAATATTTTTGCTTTTATTTTATAATCTTTAATAACCTTATTAAGTTCCTTAATGAAATTAATAATAATAATAATAATTTTCAAGTAATTTTAATATTTTCTTAAAAGCATTGCCGTGTTAATATTATAATCTTTAAGAAATTTAGCTTTAAGGGCACTACCTTAATTATTATAAAAAGCATTATTAATAATTTTGCTATAATCTTTTAAGGCCTTTAAGGTAATATTTATAAATATAATTAAGCTTAATTATATCTTAACTTATATTTAAACCTTTAAAATGTTAAAGTAAGTTTTTAATAAATTCATTATAACCCTTAGTTATTTTTTTACTATTATTATTACTTAGGGTTGCATTTTAAATAATATTTATTTTTATTATAATTATATTAAGCGCTATGGTAATTGCGGTTATTTTATTATAACCCCTTGTATTTAAGCTATAGGTATGTTTTCGCAACTTTGCTGCATTTCTTTCGTAATTTTGCTGCTAATTATTTAGGTAAAAGGAAAAGCAAAGGGCTGCTGCTAGTGTTGCAAGGGAAATCATTAGGGAAATTACATTACCGTGAAATCCTTTTAATAGTTATTTTAATATAAGTAATTTAAAATAATATATAATAAAAAATAATAAATATTAAAAAGGTTTATTAAATAATTATTATAAATATTAAATTTTATATATAAATTAATATATTATTAAATAATTAAATTATTATAAAAATTATATAATAATTTATTAAATAATTATTATAAATATTAAATTTTATATATAAATTAATATATTATTAAATAATTAAATTATTATAAAAATTATATAATAATTTATAAAAATTTTATAATTAAAATATTAATAATAAAATAATATAATTTTATTAAAAATATAAAAAACTTTATAATTATATATTTAATTAAAAAGGCTTATATATAAATTAATTAATAAAAAGAATTATAATTAAAAATATTTTAAAAAGATTTTTAAAAATATAAAATATTATTTATTATAATTTAAGCTTATATTTAATATAATTAATTAATAAGCTTTAATCTTATAAAAATAAGCTTTAATATAAATATAAATAAAAAGCAAACTTCTTTCTTTATACTTTAAATATAAATTTTATTTAAGTATTTTTAGCTTTAAAAATATAAAGCAAGCTTATAATATTATTATATAATTTTTAAACTTTATATAAATAATTTAAAAAATTAAATTAATATAATTAATATTTTATAATTAAATATAAAAATAAATAAAAATAAATAATAATTTTAAATATTATAAGTTTAAATAAAATTAATATTAAAAATTAATAAATTATAATTTATAAAAAATTATAAAAATAAAAATAAAAAACTTTATATTATTAAAAATTTTAAAATATTATATAAAGATATAATTAATTTATATAAAATAAAGTATAATAATTAAGTTTTTTTAAAATAAATATTTTAAAGTAAAAAAGTTATTTTATATATATTTATCTTTATATCTTTTTTAATTATTTTTATATATTTTTAAAAAAAGCTTATTTAAAATAAAAATTAAATTTAAAAATTAAAGAATATTATTATTAAAAATAAAATTAATTTTTAAATATAAATTTAAGTTTTTTAAAATTTATAATTTAAATAATATATTAAAAATATTAAAATTAATTAAATAATTAATATAAATAATTAATTAATAATTATAAAAATATTGTATTATTAATTTAAAAATTTAAAAAATATTATTTAAAATATTTAATAATATTAAACTTAATAAATATAATTTTAATTATT